CAGGCACGCCATGGCGGGCCTACACCACATTGCTGCGGGAGTAGAACTGCGCACTCCACACTGCGATGCAACGGGACGTGCCCCTGCCCACCTTCGGCTGCAGATGAAAGCCCCAGCGTGGTGGAACCCATTCCCCTACCAGGCACCACAAACAGCCACAGGCCACCTATCTGCCTACCTCGCTTTACGCCCAGGTTCCCAAAAGGAGCTTACAACTGCTGAGCTTGCTGTGCTGGTGCTGAGGAAAGGAACCCACTCACTTGCCCTAAGCAGAATTAACGTTTGTGTATTCTCTTCTCCAGGCCAAACTAGCTCAGCTCCCTCAGCCTTTCTTCACACAAGAGCTGCTCCAGCCCTCTGAGTATCTTCGTGGTCTCCTCTGGACCCCTTCCACAGTTCCAGTATTTTATGTATCAGGAGAAATGAAATGGCTGGGCCATTAATTAAGATTAAGACTATTTTAATCACAGCAAATCCAAATAACTTACATTAATTTAGAAGTTAGAAGAATTAATTTAGAAGTTAAAAGTTTCAGTTATTTCTGAAATACCAAATATGACTCATGCTTTATTGCTTTTTTTTTTTTTTCCTTCAGAATCAAATTCTAAACACATGTAATCTGGGAGTATTTCGGTTTGTTTACTTGCTTGTGTGTTTTTAAAGAAAAAGTTCCAATAAGACTAAAGAATACTTCAATCATTTTTCAGAATAATCTCTCTGCCCTTTACCTAAGGGAACAATAAACAAAAGTCATCCCAAGAAGGAAAGTAGAAACAGAGTACCCAAGGATCACACAGAGTGCTTAAGAAAATACTCTTCTGAGTGAAGTACAGAATCCTTTTTCTTAAATGATTACAGTACATTGATTTATATCCTTGCAGAACATTACAATTTATACCTTTTGCAGTACTCTTGAGAGCAGTTTGTTTCTACAGCACTACTTTTCAAATAGCTTCCAGTAACCAAAGCCTCCTCCTAGCATTACATGAAGTCAGTTCTTCTACACACTTTCCATATTCCTACAATTTACGTTTTTAGTACTGTGGTCCATTTTTAGCACGTCTCTGCTACCAAGAAAACCAGCACTGACCTGCACACTGACACAGTTCTGATCCTTCTAAAATACAGGGTAACTCAGTGGCAGTAAATCTAAGAGCAGCCTGCAGGAAACACCCCACAACCTTGTTACAAAGCGCCTACGAAGGATCTGTGCACCCATGTGCTCTAAGGAGAGCATGAAACAAAAGTTTTCATTTAAATGTTTCTGGCAGTAAATCCCAAATGGCAAACAAAACCGCTGCTCACTTTACTGGCAACACTGGAATAGACATACGCATTTCTGTGGACGCATCAAATCAGTACTGCAACTTCCTCTATTTAGAAATGGCTTCCTTCATAATAATGTGCTGGCATAAAGTTCACAAAAATCAGAATATAGTGACAAGTACAGTACATAGCACAAAATAAATAAATAAAATAATTAATTGAAAAAAATAAATCCAAAAAATATACTGAGGGCAGGAATCAATTTTCATTATAATCTTCATATTTAGACTTGAGAGAATTTCCAGTCTAATGCTGAAATAGTAGGGTCTTCCTCCGAAAAACTTCCTCTGAAAACATTCAGTATCACTCAAGTCTGAAATAAAAGTAATTCTTGCTGAATTTCCAGTGTTGTTGAATTCACCCAGCACCCAGCTTCAATAAACCGTCCATGGAAGTAACATGGACAATAATGCTCATTTCATTGAACTACAGAGCCTAAGAACAAAATAAAAACTAATAATAATAATTCAGTGGGTTCACTAAGATTATCGCCAAAATCTTTTACATAAAAAAACATTAAAATCCATTTGATATCATCACAGAACATCACAAAGATCCAAGAAAACCGGCTGAATCCAGCTGTAGTCAAATATTAGTGTCTTCTATTAATAGGTATGATTGAACATTGCACAATGAATTGGTATTCCTTTTGGCTAAGGAAATGGTAAAAAACCAACAACAGTGTAAAAGACCATAAAAGAAAATACACCAATGCGGGCACATCACCTCCAGTTCAGGAGGGAGGTTAGTTCAGTTTTAATTCTTCATTTCTGCCTATTAATAATACTGGCATGATCTCCTGGTTTGCAGTTAAGAAATACAGGAAAAAGACTGCTCAACAGCAAACAATAACTGATCATAACTCTTCCTGAGTTTCTTTTTTCCTCCATTTACCTGATATGGTTCTTTAAAAGGTGTGTGCTTGCTGAAGATACTCTTGTACAACATAGCAGCCAAACAAAACTTTACACCAAAATCAAGATAAAGGCTTGTGATACTTTGTTCTAGAAAAAAATAGCATCAGTAAGAAATCAGAATATTTATTTCAGTTAAATGTTTTTAAATTCTTCATCTAGACTTGAGTTTTACAGAAAATGGACATGTTAAACTTGCTGCTTCATCTTCCTGAACGCCCTTCACACAGAGAACGCAAAAGCTATGCATATACAAAAGAAAGGAGAGTGAAGAGGCAGCATTTCTACCTTCTACCACTGGAAGGCACAGGCAACCAAGTATAAAGCCTGTCTAAGAAGACACTGAGCAGGCAGATGCAGCTGAGTAGTATCAGCAGCAGTGATGGGAACTTAGGAGTGGAAGAATAAAGAGCACAGGCACAGGAATGACAGCTCAGACAGTGCAGCGAAAATGAAGCCAGACTAACAGTGATTCTTAGGCTTGTTCACATTACAAGGTAGAGCCACAGGGAAATTAAACTACCCACATATTAGCCAGGCATTAAACAATGAGAAGTTGACGTCACGCACACGCTCCTGTGTCTTTAAACTCAGAAACACAGACAACCCTAGCTGAACACAACCAGTAGTTACTCCTGCTTACTGACGGTCGGATAAGAAATCAGGCCATAACAGAGAGACCAAAAAAACACTCCTGCTATTCAGTTTATAGAAAGTAATTCTACCAGAGGATCACAGTAAATTAAAAGACTGAACAGCTGCAGCAGCTCTCACTCACTCTCATCCCCTTCCCCACCTCCCTGCCAAATTCATCTCGGATAAAGTACATTAATGAAAAGGATTAATGACCAACAAAATGATTAAGGAATTCCAGGAGATTTCATACTCTGAACACATTTAAGCTACAACATGGGGAAAAAAGAAAGAAAGAAACAGGAGTTATCAAAACCTGCTGGAACACTTCTGACTGCATTAAAAGCTTTGATGTAGTTTTTGCAGCAAAAGAGATAAAAGGCTGCCTTTGCCTTCTAAAGGAATACTTCCTTCTCTGTAAAATTCACATATGCATTAAAATCAATCTTTTAAAAAGAAATACAGAAAAGAATACCGCTTGCCAAATAACTTTATAAAGAAGTAAAAGTTGCACAATCTACATGAACAGAACAATTAATCAGTTTTGCTCTAATTCAAACAGTACTGTAGAATTGCAGGAAACTGCAAAAATTAAAATATACATTTAAAAGAAAGTTTGGTCCAACTGAAGAAAGATAATGACAACCAGCAGGAAGTAAAATGGCTAAACTTAAAATGGCCTTTCATTAAGAGGTAATTATGGAAGCAGGAGGCAAATACTTCTACAGGACATCATCCTCACAGATACATATTTTGTAATGTCACAGAACTGAGGATGCATGCATGCACTAAGGAAAATATATAGACTGGGTTGTCAGAAACCAGAATGATGATGCCTGGAAATTCTGTTTTGTCACATTATTTTTACGGCATTATTTTCCAGTTCTTATTCTCAGTAGGATCACAGGCATTGTATGTTACACACTTAAAGTGAAAAATATGCTTACAATAGAAATAAAAAGGAATAACAGAACAATAGAGTGAAAGGGACCTCAAGGATCATCTAGCTCCAACTAGGACAGGGCTATGGGCAGGGCTGCCCCCCACCAGCTCAGCTGCCCAGGGCCCCATCCAACCTGGCCTTGAGCGCCTCCAAGGATGGGGCACCACAGCTTCTATGCCAAGGCCCAACTGCCCTGAGTAAAGAATTTCATTACTTCTAATCTAAATTACCCCTCTTTTGGTTTAAAACCATCCCTCCATGTCCCATCACTATGCCCCCTCAGGAAGAGTCCCTGCCTAACTCTCCTGTAGGTCCCTCTTGAAGCCTTCTCCTGTCTAGGCTGCTCAATACAGGGACTGATCCTATTATGTGATCTACATGTAACCTAAGTTGAGAAAGGCATTGCTAAACTAAGAGGGACAGAAACGCAACAAAAATGATTGTGAAACACAAAAACACTAAAGAAAAGGGATTACAAGGTTTATATATTTGCATTACTCTTTAATGTACAGAAAGAAATAATTGTTTATATAATACTGCAATGTCTTTTGGGAGTATTATTTTACAACAGCATTGACTAAGGAAGTGGAAAATGTCCTTGAAATGCAGAAATATGTGCTGCTGATATTTCAAATGATGGCATATCTGCATTTACAGAACATGCATTTAGCAGCTGACTACACCAACTACAGCCATCAGTTCATGTGTGACCACAATTGTTTTTTTTCATCTTCCTACTTCAATATTTTGAAAGACCAGAGTATGCATAAAAGCCGTGATCACTGTTTCTCTTCATGGAGTACCAACTATACTCCAATATGCGAGTCATCTTTATGTCTTTCAAACTAACTTCTTGAACAACTGAACCAAGGAATATAAAAGCAAAGATAGGAATCAGTGTTCTGTTCTGTTCTGATTCTGCTGAATAAACAGAATTTAAACACACAAGCAATATCTAAGAATGAAAAAAGGACCACAGCCACATACATCAAATGAAGTTGTCTTCCAGTGATTTGCATTCCCCTTCTATTTCAATTTCCTAGCATTTCCAGCAAGACATGAACACCTCTTAGTGATACTAAATGCCAGCAAACATAAATTGTTTTCCATCCCACACTAGGTAACAGAATAACAACATGCTTTCTTCACTTTTCAAAGAAACCATGTCCTTAACTATGCATTACCTTAGCAGCAGACGGTGCTCCACTTGTCTGTGTTTTGGGAGGCTGACTGACATTAGCACTTGCTGACTTCTGCAAAATAAATGAAAGAAACATAATAAACAGAAACAGAAGTTGATGAATAAGAAGTAAAACTGTATATTAAATATTTAAAAAATTCTATTCTAAAAAAATCCCTGTAAGAACATTTTTAAAAGGTAAGTAATCCAAAAACATGTTTTCCTATGTAACTTTAATTCACACTGCTTTATTTCAGATGACTTTGCCCAGCACTGAAGTTCTCCAGCACTGTTTCACAAAACAAATAAAAGGGCCTGGGGCACCTCCCATATGAGAAAAAGCTGAGAATCCTGGGACTAAAAGGGGATCTGATAAATGATTACAAATATCTAAGGAGAGGTGGGAGGCAAATGGTTGAGGCCCGGCTCTTCTCAGTGGTGTATAAAGATAAGATAAAGAGCAATGGCCTAAAACTTGAACACAGGAAATTCCATACAAACACGTGAGAGAAATTCTTCACAGTAAGGGTGACAGAGCACTGGAACAGGTTGCCCAGAGAGGTTATGGAGTCTCCTATGGAGATATTCTGAACCTGTGCAACCTATTGCAGTGAACCTATTTTAGCAGGAGGGTTGAATCAGATGATCTCCTGAGGTCCCTCAATTTCTGCAATTCTGTCCTTCTGACAGATCTATGTTATTTCCTGTGGCAGAGTAACTTATTTTAATAAAGAGCCAAACCAATAGTAGCCGTATCACAGAATCATAGAATGCTTGCGTTGGAAGGGACCAAGGGATCAAGGATCATCAAGCTCCAACCCCCCTGCCGCAGGCAGGGCTGCCGACCTCCACATCTAATACTAGACCAGGTTGCCCAGAGCTCCATCCAACCTGGCCTTGAACACCTCTGGGAAAAGGGCATCCACAGCCTCTCTGGACAGAATATATGCAACATGAGCGATTTATGATAAGACTTTAAAATACTAATTGTGTAGTGAGATGGTAGATTATTGCTCTGCAGAAATAACTTTAACAAAATGGGAAGTAACAATATATCTCAGGCAGGGAAGTACAGATACAGAACTAAGAGCAAAATGATGGCTTTTCTAGTTAATAAGTAAACTTGCAATTGAAACAAAACAGGACATCCTCTCTGAACCTGCATTCAGCAACTGCTGAAATGACATCTAGTGAAGACTAGAAAAAGCAGCCATTAATAACGAACACAGCAAAATATATCAAGTATTTGGAGGCAGAAGATGGATAAGACCAAGTCACTTTCTCTGACAAATGGAAGCTCAAGATCTACAAGATGAAGTGTTTACACTTCAATTACTCTCTACAGCAGAGAAGTCAGTAGAATGATGATGGCTCAGATATCTTAACAGGAAACCTGCATTCAAACTCACAAACACCAGATTTCAAAGGATTGTACAATATCTCCTGCAACAGAATAGCAGTCATAATCTTCTGTTTAAGGTTGTTTCCATGTCACATTCTCACTGCAATTCAGCTCCAAAACTAGGAAACCATCTCCATAAATAATGCTGAACATTCAACTACTAATATCCAGTCAGAGCCTCAGGAAGAGGACTTTCGTGACTATTTACCAAAGAGTAACATCACAAAAATCTAGCCTAGCAATACAGACTGAAACAAATAAGACAGCCACATCAAAGTGTTCATGATTACTACTGAAAGCAACGACACACAAGCAAGACTTCATAGTGTGTCACAAAAAAAGAAAAGCAATGGTGATTTCCCCCCTTGAAAGAGTTTAAGAACATGGCCACCTCCTCCAGCCACTCCAAACCAGGACACCTCCTGCACGGCCACTGGAGTCTTCTGCAGACCTGTACCACTCAGCACAGTTCTGGCTGCGTGTTGGAGCCCAGCGCAGTGCCCAGGCACATCATCTCTCTACCCAGGCAGAGAAATGCTGCTGCCACCTTCCTGTTCGCAGGTTCAGCTAGCAGAAAAGCAAAGCATTTGTCTGAGATTCATGCACACTGGCACTGCCTGTCTTCAGAAGCACCCACAGACTGGAACCACCCACCTACATAGTCTGGACTAGAAATAGTAAGAAATCTGTATTTCAAGTGAAATAAATTCTGGTTCCAACAATTAATCTATGTTTATCAATTAAACAGTATAAGGAAGAAGTGGTGAAGTAACCGAACCAAACATTTCTGTTTCTGGTCTCCTTCAACATCTTCATCAATGACCTGATGATGGGATAGAGAGTGCACCTCAGCAAGTTTGCTGATGATATAAAGCTCGAAGGAGTGGCTGACAACCAAAAGGCTTTGCTGCCATTCAGCAACACCTGGGCAGCCTGGAGAGTTAGGCAAAGAGGAATGTGATGGAGGAATAACTGCATGCATTCAGTACAGGCTGGGAGGGCTGATCAGCTGGAAGGGATCTCTGCAGAGAAGAACCTGGGCGTCCTGGTGGACAGCAGTGCAATGAGCCAGCAGTGTGTGCTGGCCAACAGGTTGAGGGAGGTGATTCTGCCACTCTGTTCCCAGTAAAACCACATTGGAGTACTGTGTCTAGATCTAGACTTCCCGTCTCAAGAAAGACAGAGAACTTCTACAGAGTTCAGCAGAGGGCCACAAAGATGCTTATGGTCCTGGAGCATCTCCTGTATGTAGAAAGGATGGGACTGTTTAGCTTAGACGAGCAACCTAAAACAGTAGATCATTTTTGAGGCTTATTCTTGACCTGGATATGCAAATTCAAAATGAGCAGCAGGATTCATCATTTTTACATTTCATATTTCAACCTATGGACTCATCCCATGGGCCTCAGGCTGGGGAGGGCCCAAGACACATGGCATCCCAGGGCAGCATGAGGAATCTGTAGTAGGCTTTGAGAAGGTTCAGGGACGGTGTGAGTGTTGGCTACAGCTGCCTACTGGGAGCATGGAAGATGAAATCTGACTTTTCTCGCACATACCATGTAGTGGGCACTCTCCTCACCATTCTTCTCTTTTGAGATCAGGGCAGAAGAGATGCCACTTCTCAAGTTCCAGGAGTAGGGATGAGGAATAAGAAAGAACAGCTGATGCAACACTCAAAACTCAACTGTTTTTTATGATTGCATCTCCTACGACTCTCTGTAGGGTGTCAGTATACTCTGCCCCTCTCTGCTACTTGCTGGCACCAAGATGGCTCCACAGTAGGCAGCTGCAGGGTGGCTGACAACCCCCTTGCCTGGCCCGCTTGGTACACTCTTTCAACCACCTCAGAGCAAGAGCCATAGGCCCCAACTCCCAACTGCCATGTTTTGGTCACCATGGGACACTCAGAATCCTATTGCCATAGCCATCCCTATAAACACAGGGACCCCATGTCCAGAACCCCAGTCGCTGAGTCACAGTAGCCAGTGGCACCTGGTCTCCCCAGGAAGTACACAGGAAGCTTTCCCTTGGACTGAGGATGGATCAGCCACCTTTCAAGAAGAGGTGGCTGATGGAAAGGGACGATGACATCGAGTCCATGGAGATGGACCCACCGGACAGTGACAGACATCCCACGGAGGTGGATCCACCTCGGGAGGACAACCTGATGGAACTCTGAAGTTCCATCTGAACTTTCACTCTGAAGATGGAACTCCTGAAGAACTCCCTCCATCAGGGCACACCAGTCACCACCCTACACTGTCAGGCTGGCCAGGAAGAGATCATGCCCCAAACACCGTTGCAGGGGCACCAGGATCCATCCACCTCCATCCAAACGGCTACCTCAGTGTTGGCACTGATCCTCCTGTCCTGTAAGTTTACCATTAGAGGGGAGAACCCCAGTTCAGGGCCATCCTGCAGGCTTACATAGAGCCTCCAATTCCTGGTAATTTTCCTTTTGACAGCCAAGACTCCTACAAGCCCATCATTCCAATCCCACTCCCTCGTCCCTCCCTACGACCTTTCATCTCTTCTTCATTGAGTCCTGAGGAAGAGGGCAGGGCGGGGACTGTCAGCCTCTGAATTGCTGCAATTGGGCAGCAGGAAGAGTCCAGCAAATTGACCTAATTTCCAGAAACCTCAAACACTTCAGGGATGTGAAGATCATGTAAGTTTATCATCACCCGGAGGAGACCTAACTTCAGGCCATCCTCTGGGCTCACATGGAGCCTTCACATCTTGGCAATTCTTCTTTTGACAGACAAGGCTCCTACAAGTCCTTTCTTCCTGTCCCCTTCCCTCATTCCACTCCAGGGGAAGAGGAGGGATGAAACAAGTGGCAGAGATATATTGCATAAAAGTAGACTTCAGTTTGGACAATAAGTACCAAACTTCAGCAGGAAGGTCCAGTCAAGATGTTTCATTTGCACATTTTTTTCCAAGACTGGACAATCAATAATTTACAATAACAATATAAAATAACAATCATATAAAAACCAAAACACAAAATGAACAACTTTACTTTTATAAAAGCAATAACTGTCTCTCCGTTTTTTGCAATTTTGTAGTCTGCATATAGATTCCCACATCCCCTCATCTCCCTCCACACAAAAATGTACCCTGTAGTACTGCACACAGTCCTAATTTCTAGCTGGAGGAATAACCACAGAACTGCATAGACCATGCATGGCCCCTTGCCCTGCCTCATCACCATCCGGTATGTCAGAAGACATTTTACATAAAGCCAAAAGGTTGGCTTACGAACTGTCATCCTGGAAAGGAGCTCTGAGGAGAAGGATCTCAGTGTCCCTGTGGGCAACAAGTTGGCTATGAGCCAGCAGTGCACCCTCATGGCATGGAAGGCCAATGGCATCCTGGGGAACATTCAAAACAGCATGGCCAGTAGGTTGAGGGAGGCAATCCTCCTCCTCTGCTCTGCCCTGGTGAGGCCACATCTGGAGCACTGTGTCCAGTTCTGGGCTCTCCAGATTAAGACAAAGAACTTCTTCAGAAAGTCCAGCAGAGGGCCACAAAGATGTTTAAAGGCTTGGAGTATCTTCCATGTGAAAATAGCTGAAAGACATGGAAGTATTTAGCAGCCTGGAGAAGACTGAGGGATATCTTTTCAATGCTTATAATTACCTAATGGTCAGGAGCAAAGTGCATGGTGC